TGAGGGCTGGAGCCTTAGCTTCTCCAATGCACGAGTTTTCATGCCGCGCCAAGCCTTTGTTTCCCTGCTCAGGGTGTCCGCAGCAGCATCTTTCTTTCTCAATGATGTGCAGAATCGGTCTGCTGACGTGCCCATACAGAAAGGAGGGCCTCGCTGGCGGAGCGGCGCTCCCCCAAACCCAATGTCTTATTTTCTCCGAGACCCTTTGCCTTAGTGTGTCAGCCGACTGGAATGTCTAACCTGACACTGTCAAAATATTGGTGGTTAATGTGGCTTGTAGCCTTGGCTTTCCTGTATATGGTGGGGGGAAGGGGGTAAAGGAGGGGATGGGAGGGTCCCGCTGTTAAAGGGAACAAACTTGAAGGTGTTGCAAGAAACAGCTGATGCCATAAGCCCTGTGTTCATAGCAGTTTGAGCAGCACGCTGGCTGATCTCATTTAACCAAGAAACGAAATGCAGCCCAAACTGGGTTAGCTCAGTGGATAGAGTGTTGGCCTGTGGACTGGAGGGTCCCGGGTTTGATTTCCAGTCAAGGGCATGTACCTTGGTTGTGGGCACATCCCCGGTAGGGGGCATGCAGGAGGCAGCTGGTCAGTGTTTCTCTCTCTCATCAATATTTCTAGCTCTCTATCCTTCTTCTTTCCTCTCTCTAAGGGATCAATAAAATATTAAAAAAAAAAAAAAGAAACTAAATGCAGAAAAATCGGGTCTATGAAAAGCAGAATCCACCTTGGCATTGACCTGTTCCTACTTGACTTGTTGCTGGCAGGATGAATGGCGGTGACGGGGATCATTTTGGTTGACAGCAGCTGGAAACACAACAGCGAGATTATTATAATAGGATCAGCATCGAGTCGGATTATAATAGGGGCTTTCTCCGAGCGATGGCACGGTGTCAAATTCATCGTGGGCCGCTAAATGAACCTCTTGTATCCCCAACAAAGGGATAGAAACAGTTCCCAATGAAAACACAAACAGAGAATCCTGTTCTGTGTGGTGGGCATTACCCAGGGTCCCATTTATCACGCACCAACACTCGTCGCTTTGAAGACACACGATCCTGCAAGGTTTCCACTTTTCAATTTGCCTCTGTGGTCTGCATTCTGCATGCATTTCCCAGGGAGAAGCCTACACCGCTGCTTGAATCATTTCGGCCGCAAGATTAACCTCAAAGCATGCATTCTCCCCACCTCCAGGGTAATCCCCTGACAAATGCATCCACAAAACCTCCACACGCATCGGCAGTCCTGAGTCCCTATTATTAATAGAAGGAATATCATCCTGGAAGGGAAGTCACGCTGCCTTTTCTGATGTCTACCGTTGAAAGATGCGGGTTTCCCGAGAAGCCGGGTGTCAGGCAGGAACAGCCTGGGGGAGGATGTGGGGAGAAGCATACCTGCCTTCTGTTGCGGTCCCCAGCCCAGTGGTTCATCTCGGCACCTGTGTGTGGGATTTGCACGGGCCGAGAGATGGCCACGGCCTCCATCCAGATAACTTGGAGAAACTGACATTGACCTTGTGCCTGGTGCCTGACTTTGTGCTCAGAATGTCAAAACGCATTTGACTTTGGAGCCCACAGCCCTTTTACAGCAGAGAAGCTGACAGGAGCTGGGAGGGATGGGACAGTGTGTGAGATTGTGCCTGTGTGTGTGTCTTTTATAAAAGGACAGGGTCATAATGTTACCTTTGGGAATGTCTTTTTGTGTTTCCACCCCAAAATGTAAGAAAATGTCCTACTATGAAAATAATTAAGCAGGACTCTACTTAGTTATAAATGACATCACCACCAATTAAGATTGGTTTGTTCTTAAAAAGATATCTTTGGTTATTTCAGAGAATAAGGGAGGGGGATAGAGAAATAGAAACATTAATGACAAGAGCCAATCATTGATTGGCTGCCTCCTGCACTCCCCCATGGGGAATTGAGCTTGAAACCCAGTGTTGTGCCTTGACTGCGAATTGAACTGTGAATGCTAACTGAGCCACACCGGCCTGGAATAAAATTAGTTTATTATTTAATCTCCCACATATAATGTACTTATAATAATAGTGATAGGAAGATCTCAGTAATATCCTATTGATAACTCTTCTGTATCTTTTGCATAAATCATTTCATTTTAGGCTGTGACTACCACCTTCCTTTTTTAGAAACGAAGGCCCTGAAGCTCAGACATGTTTTGTGACCTGGCCAAGGACACAGGGCAAATGAGAGTGGGGAGTAGAATATAAAGCAAATGATCTGGTTCAAGACAGTTTGCCTCCCAATGATCTCCTCAGCCACTTTCTTACACTTAATATTATCTCATTTGATCCCCGCACAACTCTTATGAGACTTGCAAATAAAAATTACCGTCTTCACGCATGAAAAAGACTGACTCACCGATCATGCAAATGACAGAGATTTATCTCCTTCCTCCCACCTCAGCGTTTGCTGATGTAACCAGGGCATGCCTCTCACCAGCATCCCATTACAATAATCAGCGAAAACAGACGTGCTGATGACCAGTCTCGCGGTTGTCAACTCCCGAGGGACTTTCTCCAACTCTCATTTAACAAGAAATCATCTCCATGCTTCTTTATGATGTGTGAATAGTCCACACACACACACACACACACACACACACACACATACACACACACACACACACAAACTTCATTTTACTAACACATCTGAGTAAGCATTCCTCCAAGTAATCACCGTAGAAAGTAACATTATATGTGGGAGTAACATTATATGGTGAAGAGTGAGGGGCGCATATGGGAGGCAATCTATATATGCGTCTCTCTCGCATTGACATTTCTCTCTCTGTCTCTCCTGCTCCCTTCCTCTCTCTCTAAAATTCAGTGGGAAATATCCTCAGGTGATGATTAACAGCAACAAAAAATGCCCCCTGCAACTTATTCCCAGTGTGCGTCTCCAAATTTAGCTTTGATGGCTGACTCTTCCAGTCATATCTGCTCTTAAAAAAGTATTTTGGGATTTTATCTCACTATCCTCCTCTCACCTGGAAAGTTTTTCCTCTAATTCTTCTCCATCCCACACAGTATTCAAATAAGTACAGTCTACGCATTGTACTTTCACGTGCTTACTTTAACTAGCTAGTTGATGATTTGCTTTTGAACATGAGTCTTAAGTTTGCTTTTCTATATGATTCCCAGTGTCAGGCAGAAAGACATTCAGTACATTTTTTTTCTAACTGTAGGTTTTGTAGAACTTCTGAATCATCCTTCTGAGTAGAAATTCCAATTTGACAGCCCTATCAACTGCTCAACAAATATTATTGTTACATTTTCCTGGGTAGCGTCCATCATCAAAAATGCATCCAAAAGGTTTTGACCTGACACGATCTTGGAAAAGCTCTGCCTTATTTCAGTAAACACAGACGGATGCTGCTGAGATCCACCTATGACTTCCGTCTGGCTGGAAACACTCTTGCCCTCACAGCTGGGAGCGTTCATATTGATAGCTCAGGGCTGATTCTCCAGGGGCATTGCCGCAGCCAACAGCTGGTCAGTACTGGGGTCCAAAAGCTTGGCCCCATTTCCTCAATGACATCCTAGCTCTAGAGTCCCCAGGGAAGTCCACAGAGACCTTTGATGTGATGGCGTCACAGCCCAAGTGACGGAAAGACGGTCAGCTCAATATCACCCTTTTGCCTCCCCAACATACTGATCAAAAAGGGTTCCCCAATACAAATTCTGCAACAGATCTCTTCCATCTCAGACTCTCCATTCTTCTGTGACGCTTCCCTCATGAAATCGGCACATGACTTATTCATCCATCCGCTCATTCCATGAGCCAATATACATTTGCTAACGACTCTCTGTCCTGCACTTCCTGGATCAGGAAGACCCCGACCCTGCCCTTGTAGAACATGATGCTGTGATCTCATCAGACATCTCCAGTTTCTCCCCAGTTTCAGCCATTCACAGAATCACCCACCATCTGTCTCTCTTCAGTCTTTTGCCTTTACTTGTACTTGATGGATTGCTCAGAATGTCTTCCAAGCCCCTCTACTTCTGGTTAAACTCTGCCTGTCTTGAATAATTTAACTCAAAGGCTATGTCCTTGGCCACTCCTTCTTCTGGACTAAGTGTGGGGTCGAAACCTGGTGCTATTGTTTTCAGCTGAATTCCTCTGGATAGGTATCTGCCCCTACTTTTTCCTCCCCCACCAAACTATTAGCTTCTTGCCTGTCAACTTTATATATATATATATGCAGGGGACCTGCCCCAGGTTCATATATGATTACTGGGCCTCCATCCAGGCTTGTGTAGCATTCTCATGACTTTGTGACTGACTGGTGTCTTCCCATTTGGACTGTAGCCTGGCCAGAGACACCTAATATATGCTTTATATCAGGCAGGCCATATGTGCTTACCTGCTGAATGAATGACAAGAATAAAAGATAATGTATCCTGAAAAAATTAAAAGGTATTTTCTGTTATCTAGAAGGCCTCATTCCCTAAGCGCACTGATGAATTGGTGGTCCCGATCTAATTTTATATTCTGAGGGATGGGATAAGATGGATAAACTCTCCCTTTGATATCTCTCTACAGCTTTTCCCAGCAGCCATTGTAAAAATATTTTCAGTTGTGCTTTTTGCAAAACTTGAATGCCGCATGTGCTATTGTATTATTAAGCTTATGTCTCCTATTTCTTTGGTATGCTTCCTTTTCAATAGTCTCCATGCCTACGTGAGTCGGATGGGTAGCTTTCAAATGAACACTACAAAGACATCTTCAAGAATATGGATTTAAAAGGGCTATCTTTATATAGTACTTCAACCCCGCAGTGCTTTTTTCTTTTGAAAAACTTGGATACTGTTGAAGTTATGATGGAGTAGTTATCTCCTTATCCTAAAAAAGATTTCTTTTCTTCCTTAGTCCCACACATGGATTTCTGTAGGGTATGCTTAGCAAATTTTAGCTCTTGACAAGAACCATGTGTTAATTATTATCTTTTTCACTTTCTCTCTCTCTCTCTCTCTCTTTTTAGGTACATCTGTCACTAATGTAACAGCCACTGATGCTGATGACCCAGTTTATGGCAACAGTGCCAAGTTGGTGTACAGTATCTTGGAGGGACAGCCTTATTTTTCCATTGAGCCCGAAACAGGTTTGTGAACTACATTTTGAATTCTCTTCACCATGTTATTGCTTCAGGGGAACACTTTTCTTGGGATTTGGAGTATGAAATGTTACGGTTACGTACTTTACTGCCTGTATCAATAATATTTGAATGTGTTCTTTCTTTGCCGTGCGAGGTACATGGCAAGCATGGCTGTGATGTTGATGTTGATTAAGACAAATTGCAGCCCCTTTGTACAGCATCACCTATTTAACAGCTGGCCTGCCACCTGCCTTTTTTTTTTTTTTTAATGTATTTTTATTGATTTCAGAGAGGAAGGGAGAGGGAAAGAGAGGAACATCAATGATAAGAGAGAATCATTGATTGGCTGGCTCCTGCACGCCCCCTACTGGGGATGGAGTCCACAACCTGCATTTGTGCCCTTGACTGGAATCAAAACTGGAACCATTCAGTCTGCAGGCAGATGCACTTCCACAGAGAAAAACTAGCCAGGGTCTGCTACCTGCTTTTAACCTGGGGTTGGGACAAGAGCGCCTATGCATCCAGCCAATTGCAGTATCAAATTTAAGAATAAATTTAGCTACTATATATTGTCTGTAAGATGCTTGGTTTATCCATCCATCCATCTAAATTTCAACTTGAACATCTATAAAATAGGTACGGAATCTATCTCCTAGGTTTAAGATCCGATGAAGCAATAAATACCAGCCATGCAGTATATGACACATGGTAAGAATTCAAGGAATGGATATTAATATAGTTGCTATTAGATTCCTCATTTGTAAAACAGATACTGACATTTACCCACTAGAGTTCATTACAAAGATATTATTATGTATTCTAACATAATACATTGTCATATTATATGTAATACGACTTCTTATTATTACCACTAATAACTCTGGGTCTGGTAGTATGGATATTTGAACCATAATTTCATTAAGTCATAGTTTTTGCAAATGAAGATAAATCTTTTTGTTTTTTAATTTTAATAATGTCCTTGTAGGATAAAGCCATTTTGTTAGTTACTTTTTATAATCCACAGGCTAGTTGGGTAGCACACTTGAAAATTACCACACACAAAAATCAATATCATTTATGTGTATGTTTCTGTACCTGGTGGTTTTAGTCTGCAAATTTCCAAGGAAGAAAAATTTTAATATGCAGCTACATGCACATATAGTATCTTGATTCAGGAGTTTTCAGCACTATTGAGATAAATGTCCATGCCGTGCCATTAAGTCAATTATTAATTAAATTAAACATTTAAAGCCCCTCTTTGCTTTCTTGGGATCCAAAGAGTAAAATCCTCACACATTTAAAAGTGAGGAAAGTCATGTATTTACACATAAATAGGTCATGAGCTTGAAATTAAATTTAGATTTGGAAATAAGAAAGAACGCTTCTAAGATGCACTAATTAGGGCATTATTGCATATTCTTCCCCAGTGAAGAAGGGAGCCTGCCATAACCTTCATCTCCTCTGGTCTCCTGATGACCCTGGAGAAATGGCAGAATGCTGGCCTTTTAAGGAAAAAGAAAGAAAAAATAAGATGTCCTATTTCTTGGCCAAAGTCAGTCACAGGGGTCAGAATTGGACCTCAATCTCAAAGCCATTGTCAGATACAGTGAATCTTTACTTTGTTCAATGGCAATAATTATGGCACAAGGGCTTCCATAAAACAGAAATGTGTTGACTGTTTAGATGGAGCTGAATCATGTTCTCTTTTGTTCCTTGACTGACTATTCACTGGGATCTTTAGTCCACCAGTCCCAATGTCATAGAGATATTAGTTGAGCCAACATCCACTCTGCAGTCACTCTGTGCCAGGCACTGAGCTACATACAAGGAGAAAAAGTCACAGAGGCTAATCTCAGCGTGAAAGTATTTCACAATTCATTTTAGAAGACAGATTTTTTATTTTCAACCTAATTAAAAGGAAGCATGGTGATGTCATGTCAGTAACTTCTATCTTAAGAATAAATTATCGTGAGATCTGGGTAACACAGGCCCCCTGCTAAGTCAGGGGGTTTCAGTACGTTTAAGTCTCATTGACATAGATGGCCATTTGCTTAATGAAGTGTTCTCGGCAACACTTAATATTGACATTTTACCCAGCATCTGAATGTCTGCCTCTACATGCATTCATTTTAGTTCTATCATTTCCAAGTTGACAGATATAAATTTATCTGATTTGTATTTTAGAAAGTATATTCTGGGACTGTTGTAAAAAAAAATGGAATGGAGAGAAATGCATACAGTAATTGAAGCATGTATTCAGTAGTTGCTCAAGAAATACCAGTTTAGTGGAGTTGAGTTTTTAAAAGCTAAAGCTGTCACAATGCAGAAAGAAATAGTGTCTCAATTAGATAATCAATAAAGGGCCAACCTGGGTTCTTTTGCTGAAACATAAATGGGTAGGAGTGAAATGGAGATATTTTTGTATAAATGCTGGCACAGTTACACTTGTGTGTGCTCTAATGAAAGCAGAATGTTAGCTGTTTCTTCCTCTCTTTCAATAGTATGCTGGTTATTCTGGGTCTTTTTCCTCTCCATTTTTTAAATTGGTTTGTTGATATACAAAGAATAATTTGCTAAGGTTTTGATTTTGATTGCACTCAGTCTATAGGGAAAATGGATATCTTCACAATGTTGAGATTTCCTATCCATGAATATGGAATATCTCTCTATTTATTTACTCTTTGATTTCATTGATTAAAGGTTTATAGCTTTGTCATATAGCTTTTGTATATGTTTTGATAGATTTATGCCTAAGTATTTCACTTTGGGTGCTAATGTAAAAGACATTGCACTATAATTTTAAATTAGTTGTCATTATGTAGAAAAACAATTGACCTTATATTCTGAGGATGTGTTTTGTGTGTGTGTGTGTGTGTGTGTGTGTGTGTATGTGTTGCTTTTGGACTTTCTACATAGACAACTCTGTCATCTGCCAAAAATAATACAGTAAAAGGTTTTATGTCTTCCTTCCCAATCTGCATATCTTTTATTTCCTTTTCTTGTCTTATTGCAATAGTAAGAGCTTCTAGTACAGTGTTGAAAATTAGTGATGTTAGGGTAAGGCTGGCTCCATAGAATGATTTTGGAAGTGTTTCCTCTGTTTTTATCCTTTAAAAGCAATTGCACAGACTTAGTATAATTTCTTCATTAAATATTTGGTAGAATTTCCCAGTGAACCTATCTGAGCCTGACCACATTTCCTTATCTTTTTCTTTCTTGAACACACACACACACACACACACACACACACACACACATTTTGTGAGAGAGGGGAAGGGAGAGGGATATAGAAAATGAAACATGGATGAGAGGGAAACATAAATTGGCAGCTTCCTACACACCCCCTACTGGGGATCAAGCCTGCAACCTTGGCATATGCCCTGACAGGTAATTGATCTGGTGACCTCTTGGTTCATGGGTCACTGCTCAACCACTGAGCTGTACCAGCCGGACCCATTTCCAATGCATATCAGGATTCTGGTCTTACCCATGAGGATCAGACTTCTATTTTTAATGATAAATGTTATGACAGAGATCATTCACTTAACAGACTATGGGACATGAACACAGTCAAGATACTTATTTTAAAAAAAGAAGAAGATTGCCCATGGAGCACAGTCATCAAGTCCTTGATGCCAGAACATTTTCAATAAGAAAAAGATAGAGCATGGGAGATAAGAAAACCTTTTTACTTCTTGTTTTATCCTCACAGGGATGCTAGAATAGAACTCTGGACTTCAGAACAGACAAGTTTTGCTGTCCTCTTGTATGCTATAATTCAAATTTTTAGAATTATTTTTCTGTTGCTATGAGCTATCAATCTCTCTACCACACAGAATCCTTCTCTGTTTCAGGTATCAACTTAAGACAGTAGAAAGATTTGCCATTTGTCCTATGAATTGGCTTCTTTGAGTTCATGATCAATGATGAACTCACCAAATGACTTATTTATATGTTTAAGTCACTTCCCAAGCTAGAGTATACAGTCTATGAAAGAATGGGGGTTTGTCTTATTTGTTCATTTTATATCCCTATGCCTCACCGAGTGTTTGGCACGTAGAAGCCCTTTCACGTGTGCTTCAGAAAGGAAAGCAGGATGAAAAAGAGATGCAAAGGGAGGACAGGAAAGGAGAAGAAGGGGAGCATGGATTAATATTAATAATTAATAAGCTTGCCCCAACTCAGACAGAAGATGTATCGTGAACCCACTAGGGAATGCTACTTGGTTTCTAGCTTACATCCCTTTGTTTTTTCCTCTGGTGGGAAGAACATCCTTTTAACCTCAGATGCCATTTCTATTGTTGTTGAGATTCACTTAGAACTAAAATGTCTGCCATTTCTTTTCTTTTTAAAATATTTTATTGATTTTTCACAGACAGGAAAGGTGAGGGATAGAGAGTTAAAAACATTGATGAAGGAGAAACATCAATCAGCTGCCTCCTGCACACCTCCTTCTGGGGATGTGCCCACAACCAAGGTACATGCTCTTGACCAGAATCGAATCCCAGACCCTTCAGCCCGCAGGCTGATGCGCTATCCACTGAGCCAAACCGCTTTTGGCATGTCTGCCATTTCTAAGTCTCAAACTATGTCTTATGTGTCTAGCCCAGTGGTTGGCAAACTCATTAGTCAAAAGAGCCAAATATCAACAGTACAACGATTGACATTTCTTTGGAGAGCCAAATATTTTAAACTTAAACTTCTTCTAACACCACTTCTTCAAAATAGACTAGCCCAGTCCGTGGTATTTTGTGGAAGAGTCACACTCAAGGGGCCAAAGAGCCGCGTGTGGCTCGCGAGCCACAGTTTGCCAATCACTGGTCTAGCCAACACGATGTTATTCTTGTACTTGCAAAAATGAGCCTTAGATTGTGATAAGCTCTGGCCTAGATTTAGTTCTGGGTCACACATTGAGATTAAAAGGCCACTACACAGAGAAGAAATGGTTATTCACATATCTCCTTATTTCAGAGGTCACTGTGATCGTAATAATAACTATGACAAAC